ATATGTTAAGTCCATTTGTTCAAAAGTGTGGGTCAACTCTGATATCTTTTGTTCATTTATTTTTCTTTGTTTGGTTGAGTTGATCTATTGCTGACTGGTATATTGAGATCATCCACTATAATTGTGTTGATGTTTAACTGACCTTTTATGTTCACTAGTTTTTAGAAGTTGTGTGCACTGGTGTTGACTGCATATATACATTTTTCAGTTTTTTCTGTTGAATTGTTTTAACCATTATGTAGTGACTTTCTGTTCTTCTTCTGATCAGATTTGGCTTAGCGTCTGCTTGATATAAAAATAGGATAGCTACTCCTGCTTGTTTTCAGGCTGACATTGCATGGGCTACTGTTTTCCATACTTTCATTTTAGTCTTTGAATTTCTTTTTGAAGTAAATGTATTTTTATATAGAACATACCATTTGGTTTTTATTTTTTTAATCCAGTCTGCCAAGTAAGCAGCTGAGACCACTCATATCAAGAGTTACTACTGAAAGGTATTGACTTAGTCTTGCTTTACATTATTTTCCTGTTACTGATTAATTTTCCCCCCTTCTACTTAACTGCTCACCCAACCAGATGTATTCATTCTACTGGACATTTTGGCATTCATTGTCTCTTTCTAAGATATCCTAGACATTTTTTTTTTTTTCTGGTTTGTTGGTCATGAATTTCTAAATTTGCTCTTTTTTTATGGAAAGACCTTATTTCTCCATCAGTTTTTGAAAGATAGTTTTGCAGGATATATTAGTTTAGTTTTGAAGCTGTTTTCTTTTAGGTCTTGCAACACTTCACGCCAAGCTATCCTTGGCTTTTAAAGGTTTGTATTGAGAAGTCTACTGTAATCCTGATGTATTAATCTTTATAAATGCTTTATTGCTTTCCCTAACAGCTTTTAAGATTCTGTCCTTGTGTTGGACTTCTGGGATTTTTACTATGATGTGTCATGGAGAAGTTCTTTACTGATCATGGCTACTTGGGGCTCTATATGCCTCACTTATCTGTAATTAAATTATTTCCCTATTTTTGGAAATTTTGCTAATATTTCTATAAATAGATTTTTTATGTCACTCATACTGTCTTCTGATTTTTCACTAATTCTAATTGTTTGATTAGTCTCTTGTTTTTAATGCATCTCTGAGTATATGGTCTTGTGCATCAGACCTGTCTTCTAAATGTGTAACTTTGTCGTCACAATGGTCACTTCTGTTCCCCATATTTTCACTAGAGTTTGTCTCCACAGATTTCTGTCTTATACCTTTTCATGGACTCCTAATCCCTTAACTGGTCATTCATATTTTATATTGTTTTATTTTGTTCAGCTAGCTTTTTATTAGTGACTTCTGTAAAGTCACTGATTATTTTGTTTAAGTTCATTTTCTATGTAGTTATAACATCTTCAAGTTCACTGAGCACCTTATTGATCTCTTTTTTGGGTTTCTTACTACTGTGTTGTTTTTGTTTTTATTTTTATTTTTATCACTTCATATAATACAGCTGTTTGGCTTTTGATTTCCTCTCCATCTATGCCCGAGGGATCAGTTTTTAGAGGCCTTGTTTTTCACAGTTCTCCCCCTCCTCCATCATCCTTTCATTGTGCCAAAGGTTGCAGATCAATTACAATGGACTTTGTTGCTAGTATGATGACCATTGAGATATCTGTAGTGTCTCCTTTCCAGTGATGCATTCCAGGTGTGACTGTGGGATTTTTCCTCTGCCCCAAGGTCCAACCACCTCCATTAATTTGGGGAGGGGAGGGTACAGAGCAGTTGGCCCAGCAGTATTTCTCTGGAAATGAACACCAGTATTACTGATAACACAAACCCAGATATTGGAAGGCATGATAGCACATGCCTGTAATCTCAACATTTGGGATTACAGGAGGCAGGAGGATCACTGTGAGTTCAAGGCCACCTTGCACTACATAGTGAGATCCTGTCTCAAAAAAAAAAAAAAAAAGTGGACAGGAAAAGGAAAATAAAAAAGTAATATTAAAAATGAAGACAAGACAAAAGTGAGATAAAGAATATTATTAAGGAATAAACAAAAGTAGTGTAGAATTAGATAAAATAGAAAAGAAACAAGAAAAAAAAGACAAAAACAATCCAACACCCCCCCCCAAAAAAAAAACCAAGAAGATGAGTGATTCAAAAAAATTCCTTAGTGTTTTTGAACAAGTGGTTCATCTATGGCCCTACCACCCTGAACGCGCTGGATCTCATTTCAATGAGTGGTTCCTTTCCAAGATAGGGAGAAGGGGAGAGTCATTAATTTCTACACTCGTTTTTACATGTGAATGCTGAGTCCCGCCCCAGTTTTCCTGTTGTGTGTGGCTCTTCAGTGGTGTCTGCCCTACGCTATGTTTACCCAGCTGCTTTGTCTCCTGTCCTGTGTGCCCCAAGTCACTGCTAGCTCTACAGCCTGTAGATGTATGAGGTGCATTCCTCCTCAACCCCTGCTTGCTCCAGAGGCCCTGCTGTCCATACACCTCAGACTGTGTCAACTGTCCAAGCACAGGCATATTCCTGATCATGTTGGCAGGTGGGGAACACAAACAGCCCACTTAATTTTGTGCTGGATCTAGACAGCAGGTTAGAGGGCATCAAGCAGTCCAGCACTTTTACACCCAACCCCTTCCCTCCAAAACACACACACACGGCTGGCTTCTCAAGTTGGACACAGGCAGGACTCCCATGTCTTTCCCAGCCTGAGCTTAAACTTCTCAGGGGGCCTATATCTAGCCTGCAATGTCTCAGTGATTGTCTCTTGTGGGTTCCCCCCACTGTCACTGGTAGGGTGACGCCAGAAACCTTGAAGCATAGTTCATCTGTATTCTATAGCTTTTTTTTCTTTTTGCAATAAGGTTTCATTATGCACTTCAGATTGTCTTCAAGGGGCTGGGGATTTAGCTCAGCGGCAAAGCGCTTGCCTGGTAAGCGCAAAGTCATGAGTTCGGTTCCTGGTACCGGAGAAAAACCAAAAAAACAAACAAACAAACAGATTGTCTTCGAATTTGCAGCAGTCCTGCCTGAGCCTCCTGAGTGCTGCAATTACAGGCATGCGCCACCACGCCTGGCTTCTGCAGCTCAATCTCTTTAACCGCTTCCCAATATGGCCCCTGATTTAGTAGGTGCTGCACTGGATTTCTTAGCAAGAAACTCAAATGATGAAGCTAAAACTAAGGCTTGGTGGAGTGCAAGGTCAGGGGATGATTTCAGAGTTGAGTTGGATCAGGGCACTTGGTGACAAAAGCAGGGTGATCCTTATCTATTTTTGTCCTGAAAATTATTTATTAATATGTTTATTTTGCAGTTTCATTTAGAGAGCTGGAAAAAGTAGAGAAACAATACAACAAAATAGGTGAATACTACAGTTCAAGGTAAATATTTTAATATTTTTTTTGCCACTCCTCAGAACCTAATAGGAAGCTCAGAGTTTAAGCTAGGATGAGAGACTACATGGACTACTGGATGCAGTCATATAAAACCCCTCGTGAATGAGATAACGCACTTAAAAAGCACAATGAAGGGGCTGGGGATTTAGCTCAGCGGCAAAGCGCCTGCCTGGCAAGCGCAAGGTCGTGAGTTCAGTTCCCAGTACCGGAGAAAAACAAAAAAAAAAAAAAAAGCACAATGAAGAACTGAGTAACCCAAGCCTTTGAGTGCACCTGGACTCCCCACAGTACACCACCAGAACCAAGGACTGGTAATGGCTTAGCCTCAGAGTGGATCTACTGTCTAGACCCAGTAAGTCTAGACAGCTTCCTGTTCTGATGTTCCTTCTCACCTTATCTAACAGATCCAGGGAGACTGCTGGGTCCAAATTTGCCATCCTTTCCCCCATCCCCAGGTAAAAAGGTCCTGCCCCTCCAGGCTTCTCCCACTACATTCAGACACAAAGTAAGGCTACCCTTGGTCTAACCTCTTCAGGTATGCTAATTCTATTTTTGTTGAAAGACCAAGTTATTAAATCAGCCTTGGCTTACCAACTTAGGATTTCATAAACACTTTTACTGCCCTGATTTATCAGGCACCCCAAAGAAAGGGAGGGCTGGATTCAACGGGAAAAGTGTCCGCCATGAGAGTAATGGGCCCATCCACACCACAGAACAAAGCCACTGAGGGAGAGAGGCAGGAGCTTTGTATTTGGGGACAGGAGGAAGGATGTCTACGAAGCAAAGCAGGTCTGGAATCCCAGCAGCCTTCACTTCCAGCCTAAGGACTTTCCTAGGAACAGGCAATAGTGATAAAAATAAATAAATAAATAAAGTCCTGGGGTTCTGGATAAAACTTAATAGTCCCGCCTCCAATACTTTTTGCCAAATGGCTTAATCTTGCTGAACGTGTTTTCTTCATCTGAAGAAACAATTGTCCAAGTCCAGGTTCACATGGTGGTTGTGCTAATTTTATGAAGCAATATATGTGGAAGGTAGCAGATGGTTTTAAACTATTGACCACGGGAGGAATATATAACACTTCCACAAAGACAGTACTACTTCAGGAGGAGTCACCTGGCCTTTGCTGTTTTTTTCTTTTAAATGATGGTTGCAATACACTACACTGTCTTATCAGCTCCTAATGGGTGGCTAGTTTTATCAAAAACACCGCTGGACTTTGACATGTTGGCACATGCCTGCACAGCAAGCCCAATACTCAGGAGGTCGAAGCAGAAGGGTTAGAAGTTCGAGGCCGGCCTGGCCCACACAGCGCGGTCCCAGCCAGCCTGGGGTACGGACGCGACACCGTCGCTAACCACCACCGCCACCGCCCAAAACAAAACGCAACCGTTAGAAACCATACGATCGTTAGTTATTACGATTACTGTTGCTGTGTTCCGGGGGATAGGCGTTCACGGCCAGCACCGCAGAGGAGACCGAGCCCCAGAGCGCGCGGCGCCCGAGGCACTCAGGAGCCGCACCAGGCTCGGCTCGCCCCGAGCCACACCCCTGGCGAACAGGAGCGGTCCGTCGCCCTGTCACTCACGTCACGACTCGGAAGTCCCGCCTCTCGGGGTGATCCAGCCAGGCTGAGTTTAGACAGTCCAGCGGTGATGTAGCTTTCGGCTTTGAGTTCCCTTCCGCTGGAGCGGTATCGGGTAGCGGTGCGGGACCATTTACCAGGGACCCTCTGTCCCCGACCCTGGAAATGCCATGAGGTCAGTTAGCTATGTGCAGCGCGCGGCGATGGAGTTCAGTGGGAGCCTCTTCCCACACGCAATCTGCCTCGGGGACGTGGATAACGACACGGTGAGTGCACGCACACCGCAGGAGTCGCGGCCGCCCTGCGCGGGGCTGGCGCCCGCTGGGAAAACACACTTTACACGTGTGCGCATGCGCTGTGCGCGTGCGCCTTGCGGCGGGAGTGAGGCGCTCTGGAGTTATCTATCGCTTCAACGACGGATACCGCTGAGGCGTTTGATTGGCCTTGCGCCCTAGGAGAAAGGCCTCACTACGTAGTTTGCGCACCGTAGAAATCTGGTACGCTCTGGTAGGCGGGTGTCCTGGGTCGCTGCTTCTGACTAGTTTCTCCCAGTGGCGTCACTTTTCAAATCACTTTACCGGCTGGGGATTTAGCTCAGCGGCACAGCGCCTACCTGGCAAGCGCAGGGTCGTGAGTTCGATTCCCGGTACCGGAAGAAAAACAGAAACAAAACACATCACTTTACCTTTCAAAGGCACAAAATGCGTTTTGCCTCTAAACTCTAAAAGAACCCGCGCTGTCACGGCTGCGCTCCTGGGGAGACTTCTCTGAGCCCCCCCCCCCCCGGGACTCGCGCGTTCGCACCCTCGTGGTCCGCGTGGCACCGGCGGGGTCTGCGGTACCCGCCCGGATGGGTGCGTTGTGGGTAACTTCAAAGAACTCTCCGTGTGCTTTTCCCTTCCTCCTTGTTTGAGTGCTGTTCCTTCTCTCATGTTTAAATAAATTAATGCTGACAGCCGGTGGATCAACGCGTGGCGCGCAGTTAGTGCTCGGGGATTATGGGCTCTCCCTCCCTCTCCGGGGCTCTGCACCCGGGTTCAGTCAGCCTCGCGGGGAGGTACTGGACTTCTGTACGGAGTATGTACAGAGTTGCTCTCCGTGCCATCATTCCCTGAAGATACCGTCCGACAACTACCGACATGCATCACGTAAGGGGATAAGGAATGTGTTGTTAGGTAGTTTTGTTTTTATGCTAACAAAACTAGTGTGCTACACACACCTGAAAGGCATAGCCTACTATACCAGGGCTCGACGGTGTGTACTTTCCTATATATGGTCCACCACTGATCAAATTATGTGCAGTGCATGACTTTATTTACAGAGAACTCCAACAGTGACATAAAGTTTATGGGAAGATGTGTGTAGGTGATGTGTAAAACCTTCTATGCCATTTTCTATAAGGTACTTGAGCATTGGTGGATTTTGGAATTTATGGGGGTCCTGGAACCAATCTCCCGCAGACAGACAGCAACATCTGCAAATTATACTACTTTAAAAAAAAACACTGAAGATTGAATGCAAGGCCTTTATACTGAGCTACATCTCCAGCCCCTTTAGTTTTATTTTTGAGACAGAGTCTCACTAAATTACCCATACTGGGCTTGAATTTGAAATCCTCCTGCCTCAGCTTCCCCGAGTGCTGGGATTACAGGCTTGTGCCACTGCATCCAGTTCAAGAATTTTTTAAATTACTCTTTTTTCACTGTTATAATTCCAACACTTGCAACAGTCCCTGGGCACATAGTTGGTACTCAATAAACTTATTTTTATTAAATAAATATTACTTTAAAAGGCAAATGTGAAAAAAAATTTTTAGGCTAGGATGTGGCTCAGTAGTAGATCATTTGGCTAGCATGTATGACCCTGGGTTCAATCCCCAGAACCACTAAAGAGAAAAGAGAAACTGTTAGCAGCTTCCAGAACCAACATTTGGAGATTTGGGGACAGGTAAAAGACTGATTTTTGTCCAAAAGAACCCTTACCTTAGAGATGTTTGAAAAAAAAAAATCATACCGTATGTATCAACCTTTAATGAGGTTTAAGTGGGGAAAGTTTCTGAAATTCAGGCCAGGAGATCTCACATGAACATGCATGTGCTCTGGCTGGAGCTTTAAAGATTTCCTAGACCTTTGTTACTTTATTTTTAGCTTCTCTCAGAACAATGGAAGGAAGATGGTCCCTGGGGATGCTGCCCAAATTCAAGTGGGTAGAGGGGGCGTGGTCTCCCAGCCCCAATTTTGCTACCTGTAGTACATCTACCACACTCGTTGTGGCAGGGTGGGCTATATGCACCTCTCCTCACCTGGAACACACAACTGCTGGAATTGCAAGCTCGCAGCTTCAGTAAGGAACTAAAGAAGGGAAGTTTAAAATAAGACAGTTTATTTGGGAAAAGACACAAAAGAAAGAAGACAGACAGCTACCCTGGGAAAGTAGGGGGCATCAGAAGTGAGCACCCCTGGGCTCTCCTCCCTGGCTCCTCTTATTTAGGACTTCGCATCCCTTCTGTAGGCACCTGGGCGTTGTTGCCATCTGATGGGCAGACTTTGATCCTAACCTGGGCACATCTGCCTACAGTATTTTCTGGCCATTTGATTTCTTCCTGTCCCTTTGTGATGGATAAGGGGGGGGCAGCTTATAGGAAGATAGATTTAATGATTAAGTAAAGGAGGGGTTATCTGGTGTGATAATAAAGTGATGTTAAAATTGGGAACATGCATACATATGTATATGTGTAGGTGTGTGGATGTGTCTTACACACTAAATAAGAGTCTTTAGGTGGCTGCCGCCTGTCTCCTTTGCATTTATCAGGTAGGTGAGGAGGGCTGGGTTTCCTGATCTTTTATGTTTCTGGCTTCATGGTTTTGTTAACTCTTTTAGGTAAATTCTTACGGTAGTTGTGTTACTTGACAGACTCTTTTTTGTTTGTTTGTTTGTTTTTCTGTTTTTTTGTTTTTTTGTTTTTTATACAATGGACTACTAATTGGCCATAAAGAAGGATAAACTTGAGGCATTTCTAGGTAAATAGATGGACCATAAAGCCATACTCAAGTGAAATAAATTGGACACATGTGTAAATACTGCATTGTTTCTCTGGTGTGAGAAACTGAGAAACTGAAAATAAAGATCAAAATGTTTAATAGATATTGAGAAATAGGAAGAAAATGTTTAAATGGGAAGGGTAATAAGGAAACGGGGAGAGGGAAAAGAAGGAAGGGAAAAGAAGGAAAAAATGGAAACAAAACTTTTGTAAATAAGGAGGGGAAGAGGGCTTGAAGGAAGGGAAAGAAATTAGGGGGAGAAAAAAAGAATCAAGATGCATTATATACAGAGCCAGGTGTGGGGGCGTACACTTGTAATCCCCGCACTCAGGAGGCTGAGGCAGGAGGATCCTTGCAAGTTCGAGGCCAGTGTGGGCTACAGAGTAAGCTCAAGGCCAGCCTGAACTGCACAGCGAGACCCTGTCTCAAAAAGACAATCAATCAATCAATCAATCAATAAGGCAAAAAATGTTGGCGTGGGTCTGTTGTGGGTGATTTTGCCCAAGTCCTGGAAGTTGCAGTCTTCTTACAGAGTACAAGTTTTGGTTATGATTTCCTTATCTACCTTCTACCTATCTTTTATTTCTTTTATCCTACCTCACACCTCCCACAGACTTTGATCCCTTATTTTAAGGGGGTGCAGAAGGCCCAACAGTCCATATAACCTTTTTTATGCTGAGGAGGGGCTTGGATCCTGCCTAGCCAGAGAGGGAAAGTCTCATCCTGACTGATCCAAAGGAGATGCAGGAACATCAGGTTTTGCTGTTTGTAAAACCATCACTCTTTGATAGCCTGAAAGGGGGGCGGGAGTATGCAAGGCATTAACTGACAGCAACAGTGGATCATGTAACATAAAAGAATTCCAGGGGCTAGGGATTTAGCTCAGCAGGATAGCGCTGGCCTGGTAAGCGCAAGGTCGTGAGTTCAATTCCTGGTACCGGAAAAACAACAACAACAAAAAAAAAACCATAAAAGAATTCCAGTATACAGTATCATAACCAGAAAAATGAGAACTTTTTTTCACCAAGCTATTTTAGAAAACCAGGACATTAGCCAGTCATTAATGCTTATGGCCAAGTCAGAATTGTACCAATCTGTGACGTTGATCTTATAATGCAGAAGACACATTTGCAAAGTTGTCAGGAGTGTACACATAACACAAGCTGTCATGGCTACAGCATAGGCCACATTATGTTTTCATAATGTCACAGGTTTCACCTTCTGCTCCTGTTAGAATATCTAGGGCTGTTTAGTTTTTTTTTTTTCCCTTCCCCCCCCCCCTCCTCGGTACCGGGAATCGAACTCACGATGTCCCGCTTGCCAGGCAGGTGCTGTGCCGCTGGGCTAAATCCCCAGCCCCGGCCATTTGGTTTTGTAGAATGGCTTTTTTTTCTCATTTGTACTTTTGAATTTAGTAATGAAATACCCTCTGCAGTATCATGGTGTTGACCATCTTATTACAGCCCTTGTCTTTTGGTCAATAGCAAACACAATACTGTGATTACAGCCTGGGTAGGACTCTATCCGATATCTTGGGTGGCATTGCTTTATTTAGTCTAAGTATGGGGTTTTTGTTTGTTTCTTGGTTTGTTTCCAGCAATGGGGTGCTCGTTAGCCTAGTTGTCCTATAGTAGATGTCAGGCAGATATGTTCATCCCAAACCTGAAAATACATATCCACGAATCAGTGATTTTCTTTTATCATGGGAGTTTTAGGAGTGGGGAGCAAATCAGGAGTTCTCTTTTTCTATATCTGAATATTAGTTGTGGCTAGAGAAAAATTTTTGCCATGGCCCGTTTTATGAAGAGTCTCATTTATTGGCGAGTGAGAGACAGTAGACCTGATAGCAGGCTTTTAAGATAATCTCAGCACTTCATAAGCAGTGTATGTATTTATTTATTGATTGATTGGTTGATTGATTGATTGGTCTTTTTGAGACAGGGTCTCTCTATACAGTTCAGGCTGGCCTTGAGCTCATTTTGTAGCCCAGGCTCAAAACAATCCTCCTGCCTCAGCCTCCTGAGTGCTGGGATTACAGGCATGCGCCACCACGTCCAGCTCCTGGTTTTTTTTTAAACTAATTATGTTGTCTTAGAAGTAAAATTTTTGGCCGGGCATGGTGGCACACGCCTGTAATCCCAGCATTCAGGAGGCTGAGGCAGGAGGATCATTGTGAGTTTGAAACCAGCCTGGGCTACAAAGTGAGCTCAAGGCTAGTCTGAACTTCATATCAAGACCCTGTCTCAAAAAGACAAAAAAAAAAAAGAAGAGGTAAAATTTTTGTAGAATGTTAACAGAGAATAGTTATAAAGTTTACAAGGAAAATTTGAAGTCAAGAACAAAGAACAATTATGACATTATTATATTAAAGCTATTAGGTTTTTGTTATTATCTCTAAAATGTATTTAAATTTTTATTTTAGTATAACATAGCTTTTTTTTTTTGGTCTTTTTGTGACAGGGTCTTGCTGTGCAGTTCAGCCTGGCCTTGAGCTCACTTTGTAGCCCAGGCTGGTCTCAAACTTGCAATGATCCTCCTGCCCCAGCCTCCCAAGTGCTGGGATTACAGATGTACACCACCATGCCTGGCAAAATAACTTTTTTTTTTTAAACTTTAAAGAGAAAAGAACCAAAACAGATTAAGAAATACAAAGATGTAAGCAAAACAACACAAAAACAATAAAAATAATGCAGAATTTCAAACAAGGTGAGAGGACATTAACAATTTTTTTGTTGTTGTTGTTGCTGTTTTCCGGTACTGGGAATCGAACTCACGACCTTGCGCTTGCCAGGCTGGTGCTGTGCCACTGAGCTAAATCCCCAGCCCCATCAATGGTTGTTGTATTACACCTTATTATCTTCAAATTGGTTATTCAGATAAACAAATATAGGCTTGTAAGATCAATTAAACATTAACCGTTCCTTTCAATAAAGCAATAGAAATTAGTAGTACAATTATCTTAGCTGTCTTGTGTATACATATATATATATTTTTTTCCTTCTTTCTTTTCTCTTTTCCCTCATCCCAGTTGTTCTTTCCTTTTGAGCAGTTTCTTTCCCTTTCACAATATCTATTATACCTTTCAGATTTTATTTATTCTTTCAGCTTCTTACACTAGGGAGACAATATGATGTTTACACATGTGGGTCTGATTTATTTTATTTATGAGTAAGGTCTTTGGTTGCATCCATTTGCTCATAAAAGCCTTGACTTTATCTTTCTTTATAGCTGAGTAATATTCCATTATATAAAAATACCAGAACTTTTTTATCCATTCCTCAGTTGATGGGCATTTGGGTTGTTTCCAAGATTTAGCTATTACAAATTACACTGCTATAAACATGGGTGCACAGATATGATATCGCAGTGGTATGATGTTTTCAGTTCTTCTGGAAAACTACCCAAAAGGGAAATAGCTGGATTGAATGGGACCTCTAATTCTAGTCTACTGAGGCATCTCCACACTGATTTCCACCGTGGTTACATCGGTCTACACTCCCACCAACAGTGGAGAAGGGTTCTTTTTTGCCTGCAGCCCCTCTAGCATTTGTTATTGGTTGGTTTCTTGATGATAGCCATTCTTCCCAGTGTGAGATGAAATCTCAGTGTTGTTTTAATTTGCATTTCTCAAATGACTAATGATGTTGAACATTTTTTCATGTGTTTATTTGCCATTTGTATTTCTTTATCTGAGAAGTGTGTATTCATTTCAGATGCCCATTTTTGGATTGGATCTTTGAATTTGGGGGGCCTGATTTTTTTTTTTTTTTTAATTCTTTACATGTGCTAGGTGGAAGTCCTTTATCCGAAGGACAATTGGCTAAAATTTTTTCCCAACTTGTGGGTTTTCTTTGTACTGTGTAGGTGATACTTTTTGATGCTAAAAAACTGTTCAATAAGATGAGATACCAGATGCTGATTCTTTGAAGTATTTCCTGTGCAGTTTGGTTTTTTGTTCATGAACTCTCTGCCTACACCTGTGTTTTCAACATTTTTACCTACTTTCACTTCCAGTAGATTTAGTGTTTCTGTTTTAATATTTAGATTTTTAATCCATTTAGACTTTAGTTTAGTGCAGGTTGATAGGCATCGATCTAGTTTTAGTCTTTGGCATGTGGCAAGCCTGTTTTTCCAGCACCATTTATTAAAGAGGCTCTTTCTTCCACTGAACATGTTTGGCTCCTTTGTCAAAGATAAGGTGGCTGGGTGTGTTTGGGGTTGTGGCTGCATCTTCCAGTCTGTTCCATTGATCCTTAGGTCTGTTTTTTCTGGCAAAATAACGTACAATCAGGTATCTTAACCCAGTTATAAAATATTAAATGACATAAACTTTCACCTAAATTTTTTTAATAAGGTAGTGTCTAAGTAGAATTTACTTGTTTGCAGATGTACTTTATAGTTGACTACTGTCTAATCTTTAATCTTCAGAGTGCTATTGTTCGGGCAGCACCTATATAAGACATATTTAACTATCATAACACAATTATGTAGTGGTCACATGACCACGAATCTGAGAAGGTTCTTCATCATGAACATTAGTCCAGATGTCATCAGTGTGATAAGATGTTTTTCTTAGTACCACCTTCTGGAAAGCCTGTACACTTGGGAAACACAAATATATTTACTATGCCATTAGATTAGTAATAATTAGCTTCATAGCTATATAAACATCATTTTTTTTTTTCTTTTTGTCTTTTTGAGACAGGGTCTCTCTATGCAGTTCAGGCTGGCCTTGAGCTCACTCTGTAGCCCAGGCTGGTCTCAAACTTGAAACGATCTTCCTGCCTCAGCCTCCTGAGTCCTGGGATTACAGGCATGGGCCGCTACACCTGGCACTGTAATTGAATTTTAAGTATTAGAGAGAGCCAGATTAACTTTATCTAGGGTTTTAAGATTCTGTCTCTGTGATAGACTTCTGGAATTTTTTCTGCCATCATTTCTGTGAACAGGTTTTTTTTTTATGCCATTTCTGTTGTCTTCTGATATTTCATTTATTCTAGTTATTCTTCAATTTGTCTTCCTTGTATCATCTAGCAGTTGTTGGTTCAATTCTGTGGTGCTGCCCATACTTTTTTTTTTTTTTTTTTTTGAGGAGAGTCTCAGTATATAGTTCCAGTGGGCCTTGAACTCACTTTGTAGCCCAGGCTGGCCTTGAACTTTCAGCAGTCCTCTTGCCTCAGCCTCCCAAGTGCTGGGGTTACCAGCGTGCACCACCACACCTAGCTTCATACTTTCAGTATGATTTTAAGAAAAAGTTGATGAAGATGCAGTTTGAAACCTTGGTTTCCCAAGGGTGGCTGAGCTAAGAAGAGCTTTCCAAGGATTGTCAGCCCCTAGTTATCACGAGGAGGCGGTGAGAGCAGCCTAGCAATGCAAAAAGCGCTCATTCAAGCAGCTGGTTAAGCAAGCAGCTGGTCAAGCTGAGAAATGTGAAAGAAAACCAGAGAACAAGGAGAAAAGTTATAATAAAGAGGGAGATAAGGGCCTTTCCTCAGAGGAAGAAGATATGCTAAGTGAGCTGACCCTGAGGGCTCCTCCCTGACCCCTAGGCTGGACTTGGAAAATCTTAGAAATGCAGGATAACCGGTTCCTTTGAACTCAGTTTCCTATAAGCCAGATAAATAACTAATTTCCTTTCAACCCTAAAACCACAAAGCTGCCTGTTTGAAACAAGTCCCCCTGCCCTGCCTATGTATACAAGGTCAAGACTAAAAACACACTGGAACCTTAGACTTCTGCACACCTTAGACTTCTGCCCGCTGGCTCTGGGGCCCTGGTTGCCTGCAAGGCAGCCGTGCCCACCGATGTCGCCAAAAAAAATTTATTATTTTTTAATAAACACTCCCCTAACTCATTTGTTCATGGTTTTATTTTTCAACCACATGAGAGAAAGAACTCATGTTTATACAAAATGAACTGTTCCACTAACACACTTCTCTCTCCCTCTGAAGTTAAATGAACTGGTTGTGGGAGACACCAGCGGAAAGCTGTCTGTGTATAAGAATGATGACAGCCGGCCGTGGCTCACCTGCACCTGCCAGGGGATGGTTAGTACTCCCCTCCCTGGGTCTTGGGGGGAAGGCGGGGAAAGGGTCCCTTTGGTCAGGAACTGTGACGGGGAGGTCCGCCGCAGAGCTCCCCAGTTCATCCTGACCTCCCAGCTGCTCGGCCCAGCCTTGCTTGGGATTTATTTGACTCAAGCCAAGCTCACATCTCCTGTGCCCTACCCCTCCACGCAAGGCTTGCTGTGCTTTATGTTGTGGGGACCCCTTGGTGCTTTACAGAAACTGCGTAAGTTTGTCTGATCCTGTAAAATACAGTCATGAGTCACATAACAGCAGGGACCTGTTCTGAGAAATGCAGTTAGGCTCTTTCGTCACTGTGTGAACGTCATAGAGTACAGTATACGTACAAACCAAGACCACTGCTGAGGACTAGGTGATATAATCTTAGGGGCCCACTGTCATACATGTGGATTGTTGTTGACTGAAATGGAATGCATGGAATGCATGGTTAAAAATGGGAGTAATAATTAAAATAAGTCAGAAATATGATAGTCTAGCTATACAAGATGTGAGGTTTTTGTTTTATTTTTGTTTGAAGCTCAGATGATCTCACCCACCTCTGGTTTTCATACTGCTATCTGGGTACACTAAGTGCATAGCACAACGACTGGTTTGGTAGAGACTATCGATGTAGGTCGCATGACACAAGTTCTCTGCAAATGATGGTAATTGGGAAACCTGCTCCATCCTGCTTGGCGGAGATTGGAGAGGACTGTTCTTCCTGTTGCCTCCCTGAGCCTTCCTTTCTCTCTTGCAGTTGACTTGCGTTGGGGTTGGAGATGTGTGTAATAAAGGAAAGGTAAGGACTCCAGGGAATCTTGAGCTTTGATGCAATTCCACGGCCTTGTCCCCTCCCTGTCTGCCACTGGGAGCCAGCCCTGAGCTCTGAGATCTAATTATCAGCCTTGTCCTATCAGCCTGTCCTACCCCGACCTCCCGGTCCAGCCTGGTCCATCTCTCCCGCCCCTCCCTTTTTCCCAGAACCTGGTGGTAGCAGTGAGCGCTGAAGGCTGGTTTCATTTGTTTGACCTGACACCTGCCAAGGTCCTGGATGCCTCTGGGCACCACGAGACACTAGTGGGAGAGGAGCAGCGTCTGGTCTTCAAGCAGCACATCCCAGCCAACACCAAGGTCATGCTGATCAGCGACATCGGTGGGCACGGCTGCCTTGCAGACAACCAGGGCCACAGAGCCAGGGGGCCTTAGGACGGATCTCAAGGATTGGGGGAGGGGGTGTCCATATTCATTTGCACATTTGTTATGTGTTTAATGCTAAGTTACTGAGCTCTCACTGTGACCGAGGCATTGTTCTAGGCACTGGAATTATATAATGAATAAAACAGACAAAAGTAGCTGTCCCTCTTAGACTTGACTACAGAGAGACAGGAAAAAAATTAATATAAATTTTGTAAGAAAATTAAATAGTTAGGCCGGGGCTGTAGCGCAGTTGTAGAGTAATTGCCTAGCATGCATGGAACCCTGGGCTACATCCCCAGCACAGCAAAAAAATAAATTTAAATAGTATATTAGAAGGTAATAAGTGCTACAGAGAAAAATAAGTCATAGAAAGTACCCTGGTGTTACCAAGGCAGGGGTGGCAACTTTAAGTGACGTTGTCAAGGACATCCTTGTTGAATAGGTGACCTTTGCTGGAAAGCTGAAAGTGGCAAGAGAATGAGCTCTCCCGACGCAGGGCGCTGTCTGAAAGTGGTGGAGGTGCGCGGGGTGAAGCGGGACCATGCAGGAATACGTAAGAGAGTATAAGCAGTGAGACTTAGAGGACAGGGGTCAGGGAGCTGTGTGGGCACAAGGAGAGGTCGGGCAGGCAGCAGCTACAGAGGGCGTGAGTAGCGTGAAAGCCTGGACAGGATACTGTACTGGATGAAAAGTGCCCGCAGCAATGACCGCGGCAGAGGAGAGGAAGGTGCTCGTAGTCCGCACGATGACCGGCACAGATTTGGCTCCAAGTGCAGCTTGTTCTCTGTTCGCACAGATGGAGATGGCTGCTGTGAACTGGTGGTAGGACACACAGACCGTGTGGTGCGTGCCTTCCGCTGGGAAGAGCTGTCCGAGGGTCCCGGGCACCTGACAGGACAGCTGGTGTCCCTCAAGAAATGGATGCTGGAGGGCCAGGTGAGAGGCCGAGTGAGGGAACCGGAGCCCGTAAGCAGGGAGCAAGGCCTCTGGAGGGTGCTCGTGGAGAACCGTCATGGGGCGGACAGAGCCCAGGTGGGAAGGAGGGAAAATCACTTGCGCAGAAAGACCCAGAGAGAATCCTCTGCAGTCAGGATCTTCACAGAAATTCTGTAGCAGGTAAAGAAGGAGGAGCATTGGGCTGAGAAGCAGGAGGATGCAGTAGGTATGGTATGGCCACGTCAGGACCGAGACCCAGTGGGACGCTCATAGTGGAGAGCAGGGGTGTAGAGGGAGGATTCTCCAGGCCCCGCAGTCCTTGCTCCTGCACCCCCAGCACTGGAGAGCTATCCCCAGGAGCCCTGCCCCCCAAATCGCTTCTTCCCGATGGCCCTCACCCCTCCCTGCCCCATCCCCACTGAACCCCATTCCCCAGTGCAGGTGGACAGTCTCTCGGTGACCCGAGGGCCGCTGGGTGTTCCTGAACTGATGGTATCTCAGCCAGGCTGTGCTTATGCAGTTCTTCTGTGCACCTGGAACAGGGCCGCGGGATCCTCCCCTGCCTCCGAGGAGGCTGTGGAGGGCAGTAGGTAAGGAGTACAGGACCGGAGAGCGTGTGAGGTGCATGGAAGCAAAACAGGCTTCTGGGGGCACGTGGCAGTAAGACAGGTCTGCAGTTGACAGACCTCCTTCATCTTCCATTACAGAAGATTATTTGGGGACTCAGGGAATCCTGAACTTGGGTTTCTGCTTGGCAGGTCAATCCTTCTTGCTCTTAATGGGGGTAGCAGCCAGCAAGGGCTCCGAGAGCTCCGCTCACATGGCCCCACCTGGCCCACCCTCCCACCTCTTCACAGAGAGACCACAGCTGCCCAAGATGTAGTGCTGCACCAGACGTCTGGCCGTATCCACAACAAGAACGTCTCTACTCACCTGATAGGCAACATTAAACAAGGTGAAAGTGGGGTGGGAGAGAGGGAGCTGCAGGAAAGCGTGGGTCCTGAAGGAGGGAGATCCAGGGCCCTGACCTTGCTGCTAGATTGTCCTCTTCCCACCGAGGGGCTGCTGCCCTCAACCCAGAAACGGGGCTTGCCTGCCCTGCCCGTCATGCTGTTCCGTCCCACCTGCAGGACACAACCCTGAGAGTGGTAGCTCTGGCCTCTTTGCCCTCTGCACCCTGGATGGTAAGCAAAGCTAGGCTGGGCAGGGGCAGAGGGCTCTGCCCATGGGGTCTTCCTGGGGCCCAGCCCATCCAGCATGGGCCCCCTGTCCTCCTACAGGAACGCTGAAGCTCATGGAGGAAGCAGACAAGCTGCTGTGGTCCGTGCAGGTGGATCACCAGCTCTTCGCCCTGGAGAAGTTGGATGTCACAGTAGGTGGGAGTGGGTGGGCAACGCATTTGTGCGTTCTGCACACAGATGGATTCGATATCCAGCCGTTCACATCCCTCTGACCGTTCCTGTAGCACCTCATGTCATTCGTGGTGAGTGGATGAGTGGCTTGCTTTCAATAAGCTGAAAACTTGGGGCTGAAGTTTCCTCAGAATAAAGTGGTGAATCGTGCTGCCTGGCCCATGGCACTATGCAGGGTGGCTCGTTTGATGGGCACAGGAGTTCTTCCCCAGCTCCCAGTCTGCCACGCAGTCAAGTTCACTTCCTCCTTAGCTCTTCCAGCCTCCACCATTAGGTGTCCTGCTAAAGCACTCCTGGCCACTCCTGCTTCCTTGTCTCTGGCCTTTTTCAGGGTAATGGACACGAGGAGGTGGTCGCATGTGCCTGGGACGGACAGACGTATATTATCGATCACAACCGTACTGTGGTCCGCTTCCAAGTGGATGAAAATATCCGCGCCTTCTGTGCAGGTGGGACACGCCCCCACGGCCTCCCCTCGGGGCACACTTACGCTAGGCAGCGACACGGGAGGTGCTGCAGAACCGTTCACCTCTGACTTCCGCTCTCAGTGAGCCACAGCCGGAAGTCTTCATAGACAAATGGGTTCTTTAGCTCTCTCAGTCAGTGTTTTGCTAGAGCAATAGACGTGACACAAGACGTAACACATTTGTACATTTGCGTAAATGTATGCAAAGTTAGATGGCCGCCCCTAGTGGAGTGAGGAAGCACGCGTGTCTGCAGGCTGGAGGCTGAGGGCTTCAGTGGAAGGCCTGGAGCTCACTGCAGTGTCCCTGCAAGGCCGTGTCAGGAGGTGAATAGGAAGGCTGAAGGATCCTCCCTGGAAGCCAGAGTCTGTGCTGGAAGCCAGGACATGCTGCCCAAGCTGAAGGCAAAGACTGGAGCTCCTCCAAGGAACAAAGCAGATCCTTCCTTCCTTTCCCCTTCATACTGTACAGGCCACTGGCCAGCCTGGGGTGGGCCTTCCATACTCTAGGGTATAAAATTGTTGACTGGTTTAAACTTCTCCTAAGTAAACTTCTCAGGTTAGCACAGTCAGTCAACCATTACAAGCTCCTTGGTGATAGGCAGGTATTCCATCACCACCTTGATAGTTTTTTGGGATGTGTGTGTGTGTGTGTGTGTGTGTGTGTGTGTGTGTGTGTACCGGGAATCAAACTCAGGACCTTGTGCTTGCCAGGCAGGCGCATGTGGCACTGAGCTATATCCCTGACACTGTTTGTGTGTGTGTTTGTTTTATTTTAGGCTTTTCTGACACAGGGTTTCACTATGCAGTTCAGGCTGGCCTTCAACTCACTTTGTAGCCCAGGCTGGCCTTGAACTCCCAGAGATCCTCTTGTCTCAGCCTCCTGAGTGCTGGGATTACAGGCATGTGTCACCACATCTGGCCTTTTTTGGGGGAGGGGGGCATTATCAGGAATCTCAGGAGCTTGCACTTGCCAGGCAAATGCTTGTGCCACTAAGCTGCCTCCCCAGCCCACACCTGGCCTTTGGTAGTTTTAAATAAGAAAAATCAAGGCATCTCTGAATTTTCTTTTCTTTTTTTTTTTCTTTTTTGTCTTTTTGAGACAGTGTCTCGCTATGCAGTTCAGGCTGGCCTTGAGCTCACTCTGTAGCCCAGGCTGGTCTCAAACTCACAATGATCCTCCTGCCTCAGCCTCCCGAGTGCTGGGATTACAGGCGTGCACCACCACACCCAGCAATCTCTTAATATTTTAAAGAATGGGATCCACCCTCACTCTGTATCTGGGATGTGGAAAGACATCAGAGTCCTTTTCCATCTGAGCATGCTAGAACTCGGAGGAAAACTCCCCCACAGCTTTCTCAGTTAGTTCCAAACTGAAAACCTTGGAAAGCAGCCCTGGCTTTTCTGTCAACCAAGGGATATGTCTGGTACCAAAATTATAAAGTTCTGTGAGTGCACCTCAGTGATAGAGTAACTACCAACATACATGAGGTGCTGGCTCCAGTCTGCAGCACCACAAAAAACAATCAAGATGATAGGAATTGGACCTGTCTCTGGAAGACATACACCAGTGACCTGAAAAGCTGACTGTCTTGTTTACTTTTCTGTCATTGCTGAGACAAAATACCCGACACCCAAAACTAATGAGGAAAAGTTTATTTAGCTCACAGTTTGTGGAGGTTTCAGTCCTGAATCAGCTGGCTCCAAGGCAGGGTGGCAGGGCACAGCAGCAACAGTCCAAGGTGGCAGAAGACAGCAAAAGCAGCAAGAGCAAAAGTGGGGAAAAGCAAGCCTCTTTTCCTCCCTTATATTGTATACGGGCCCCAGGGCCTTACCATCTCTGTGCCCTCCTGTTCCACAAGCTGAGGATGTTTACAAAGTAAGGACCCTGCCCCCCTGCTGTATCACTTAGTTGAACTTTTAAACCTTTCAAGTTGACAATGAACAATATGCTAGCATGGGTAAGGGCATGTCCTTTTCACCCCTGGATGTAGAACTGCTGAGTTACTTACTTAAGCTTTTGGACTCAAGTTGACACTGTATCAACCATAACACTGACATATATTGCCTAGAAAAAAGGGTAGAGGCTGGGCGTGGTGGTGCACGCCTGTCATCCCAGCACTCGCCTGTCATCCCAGCACTCGCGAGGCTGAGGCAGGAGGATCATTGCAAGTTCGAGGCCAGCCAGGGCTACACAGTGAGTTCAAGACCAGCCTGAACCACATAATGAGACCCTGTCTCAAAAAGACAAAAAAAAAAAAAAAAAAAAAAAAAGAGTAGAGACGTAAGAGAAACCTCTCTTCCTGGTCACACTTTGCTGGCCAACCCTTTGGACAGGTAGGGCTACCCTGCAAGACTTCAGGGATATCTCTAGAGTGGGCAAATAAAAAATAACACGTTTTTGGATGGTATTCTGCCTAGTTTTTTACTACAGTTTTTCTATATTTTTAACCTGTCTTACTGAGTTCCCAACAGAGAGGAAATAGAAAGTGGATCATTGTTGCCCAACATACGGGAGAGGTTCTCACTCTGATATCTGGGTCTTGTTCTTGCCCTAGCCAGTGGGACTCACACTTGACCTCTGTCTCATTGGCCATGTCCCCCAGGCCTGTACGCCTGCAAAGAGGGCCGCAACAGCCCCTGCCTCGTGTACGTCACCTTCAACCAGAAGATCTACGTGTACTGGGAGGTGCAGCTAGAGCGGATGGAGTCCAGCAATCTGCTGAAGCTGCTGGAGGCTGAGCCCGAGTACCGCGGCCTGCTACAGGAGCTGGGTGTGGGTGAGTCCTGGGAGAGCCAGAGGCCAGGAGCCTGAGAACCCACAGCCTCTCACCAGCTCCCTTTCTGTCCTCAGATCCTGATGACCTCCGTGCAGCTCGCACCCTGCTCCACCAGATCCTCTACCATCCCGATCAGCCACCACAGTGCCCCTCCTCCAGCCCCCAGGACCCCACCTAGCTGGGCTTGGTCTCTTGACTACCCAAGGATCCTCTGAACGCTCAGCCCCACCCCAAAGGTGTCCACAGTGTTGGCAGGAGAGGGAATGTCCTTATGGAGGAGCAGAAGTGGATACTTGGCATGGGAAGGTGCAGGGACTCTAGGCTGACCGGGAACTAGAAGTCTCTTGATATTTTTATAAGCGGTATGTATATGAAATACATAGTAGCTACATCCATTTTGGAGAGGCGGTACATGTATATAGCATATTGATCATTTTTATTCTCTTCATCTGCCCCCCTTACATGCCCCACACACCACCTCCTATTGGAGGGGCCTCACAGATTGGTCCACACTGGCTTAGAACCTGGTTACACCAGGCTGGTCTTGAACTCATGATCCTCCTACTTCAGCTCCCCAGGTGCTGGGATTACAGGCATCTGCCACCATGCCCAGCTCCTCTTTTGGGTGAAGAAGATACCAGGTGACCTTCTGCCCGATTTCTCATGGACCCCATTAGGTGGGTCACAGGATCCTGGCCTTGTTCTGAATCACCCAAGAGGCCCCTGCCTCCTTCTTTAGAGGAGTATGCTCCCTGGTGTATGCTCCCTGCTCTCACTGCAGGAAACACACTTGTTTTTTTTTGGTTTTTCTCCAGTACCAGGAACTGAACTCAAGACCTTGCACTTGCCAGGCAGGCGCTTTTGCCGCTGAGCTAAATCCCCAGCCCCTGGAAACACACTTGTTTTGAAAGCAGACAACAAATCTTTTGCACGGCCCTAAAGACCAGTCTTTGGACCCAAGGAAGCCATGGAGGTAAAGCCTCCGTCCCCTCCTTCACTTCACCTTTCATGGCACGGCTCCAAGTAACTGATAGTAGTAGTCATCACAGGATTGGCCAACTTTTTGGCTTAGAAAGGTCTTCCGGGACGTTTTCCAGCCTGATCTTACTTGTGCTCCCAGCAGCCTAGAGGTGATTTTTCTGCATTCATTAAAGCAACATGGTCAGCGCTTTCACATTGTGCCACGTTCCCCACCCCCTCTCTTTTTGTTCCAGTGCTGGGGACAGATCCCAAGGCCTTGCACATGCCAGGCAAGCATCTGCCACTGAGCTGCGCCCCCGCCCTGACATCCTCTTAAGTATTGTGCGGCCTGCAGGCCTTTCACCCACACTCCCACTTCCTCTTTCCCCAGAGCACTTTATTGGGTATAAAACCATCATCATTTACAATTTGATGCAGGCTTATCATCCAGACCATAATCAGAATTATATCATGGGCTATTTATGTTCTTTTCTGTTTGTATATCTGTTTGTTTGCATTTTTAGAGATTGAACTCAGGGCCTTTGTACTGAACTATATCCTCAGCCTTTTTTTATTTTTTATTTTGAGACAGAGTTTCACTAAATCTAAGTTGCCCAAACTGGGCTCAGATTTATGACCCTCCTGCCTCAGCCTCCAGAGTGCTAGGATTATTGGCATGCACCACCATGCCCAGCTTCTTTTTGCTCTAGATTCTCTGTGCTCCAAATCAGTGCTTTTAAAGTTGTAGGTAAGGGCTCGGGGTTTAGCTCAGTGGCACAGTGCCTGCCTGGCAAGCGCAAGGTCATGAGTTCGATTCCCAGTGCCGGAAAAAAACCCAAAAAACAAAAATAAAGTTGTAGGTAATAATCCTTTGGTGGCTTGTGGCCAGCATTTTTTAAAATGAAAAATAGAATAAAGTAAACTAGAAGATGTCAGAGTCCGTTGTTTACAGTGTACTGTTTTGTCACAGTTGTATGTGTAATATAAAATATACTCCACGAATCACTGCCCTCTGTTGTACCAAGCCACGGCAAATGGATCGGCCTGGGGAAAGGCCCACATCCACATTTCCCTCCCATAATGCAACAAGGGCAGGGTTACCGTTCAGCTCCCTGTAGGCAGCAAGGAAGACCCGAGAGGAACACTGCCTAGAGAAACAGGTGTTCATTCAATTGAAGAAGCAACCGAAGCATCTGGCTGCCGGCCTGCATTGGGTCTGGAGTCTGTCTTTACAGAAGCAAGGAAGGGGACAAAAGTCTCAGAGCAAGGCAGGGAGGGAGGCAGGGTGCTTCCGAACCTTGAGACCAGGTGCCGTGACAGATGTGTAAGCAGGCCCCTCCCCTCTCCCTGAGGGCGGAGTCACTCCAGAACAGTGAGGCCGGACAGCATGGGCGACTCCTTGCATCCTGGCTCTGCTGTAATCCATCCCAGGCTCAAAAATAGTTTCTAGCCTAAGAATCCCAGCTGCATGTTTCTGTTAGGTACACCTTTGTTTCTCTCCGTTCCTAATCATTATTTGAGAGAGTCAGTCCAACCAGAAAGACACCCAGGAGTCTAGCGCCTTAGCGTTTGAACTCTTCACGGTGAAGTGGAAAGAGTCTCTCTGTCTTTTTGCCTTGGCTCTGACCTGGCAGGGGAGTCAAGAAGAGCTGAAGTTCAGACGACCAGAGAGAAGGTAGCAGGTGCCAAGGAGGAGGGTAGCTGTCGAAGTAAGAATGAACGCTGGACAGGTGAACTCGGAGTGCATCCACTATTCCGTTAAAAGTATCCCTTACTTATTGTGGGCTGGTCAGGCCCAACATCTCTCAAATGAGTGGACAACTAAGGCTTAATGACATGAGACAATTGAAATGATTTTGGGGCTCCAGGAGGGTTCAAACCTATTACATACAGACTGAGGTTCTCTGGATTGACACAGACTTCCCTGAGCGGCCCATATTTATTAGGTTTTCAAATAAATGAGGAGGATACTGAAGAAAACGCAGGAATCTGGGCAGGACTTGGGAATCCCTTTAAGGACTTCTCCAAGTAACACATTATGTTAATTTAGGAGAACTGTGTTATCTCCAGGAAGGCCCTCCCTGCGGGAGTGAGATGCCTGCAGCTGCAGTCTCCTTGTAGTTAATTGGGGTTGGAGGCAAAGTCCTCGGCTGTGGCCTTATCTTGACCTTTGAGGCGTCACAGCTTCACAGGCCAATACAGGCCTCAGTGGTGACGAGGGACTCACAGAGGTTCACTTACTATGAGTCTGATGCACATCTTTAGACAAGGTGTCTAAGCTTCGGACAACTCACACGTAAACATGGAAAGCCAGTTGGTAAATAGAAATCCTGCTCAGAGCCGCTTCATGGTGGTCTCAGTCCACTGTGCAGGGGTGCTGCTCCAATGGCTGTCCTGTGGCCACCCCACCCCCACCCCGGGGCTCAGAGGCCCAGAGGCTGCAAAAGCAGATGGAGATGGATAAGCACGTAGAGTGTCAGAGGCTGGCCCAGGGTTTTGCACGGGGGATCAGTCTAACTGGGCTTAGAGGTGGGCTGGGGATTTAGCTCAGCAGCACAGCTCCTGCCTGGTAAGCTCAAGGTCGTGAGTTCGATTCCCAGTACCAGAAAAAAAAAAAAAAAAAAAAAAACCCAAAACTTCCCAGACCCTACGTAGGGAGACTGCAGTTTTCAAAAAAAACATAAAAAGTAAGAAAAAGGGGCTGGGGATTTAGCTCAGCGGCAAAGCACCTGCCTGGCAAGCACGAGGTCATGAGTTCGATTCCTGGTACCGGAAGAAAAAACAAAACTTAGAGGTCTGTGACCCAGAAAAGATAGCTAATAAAAGCTCTCAGCCTTAGGAACCAGACTTTCCCTCATAACTTTCCTGTTGTATGAATTACTGTCCTGCCATGGCCTTCCTTACTTGGCTGGGAGAGAATGTGTACAGAATTACAAGGGAGGACAGGTGCCAAAATGGCCGGTGCCCCAGGCTGCGGAGGCTTGGCGGTCTGGTTGTGGCAGACGCTGGGCCCCGGAGAAGTGACAGATGGGGAGGGGCAGGTAAGTGGTGGGGTGCCGCGGGCGCAGGTGGTGCTAGCAGTTTGCCTGCGGGCTTTGACTCTGCTGGCCGGAGCCAAGCCTGAGGTCTGTTCCGTTCTAGCCCTTTTCCCCAGCCCTGACCGGGCTTTGCTCTTCCTGGGGAGGGGGTGAGGGAGAACAGGGAAGCAGAACCCGGAGTCCTGGGCCTGGCAGGGGAAACTCCTGCAGCTGCTTGAGAAGCGGAGGAAGTGTGCGCTGAGAGGAGCGGGCCCGTCGGGGAGGGACCCAGCTCTCTGGGTTTCCAAGGGTCAGAACTGAGAAACCGAAAGAAGCTCCAGGCCCGCCTGAACCGCCCGGAAAGACCCTGTCTCGAGCAACAGAAATGTCGCGTCTCCAGGTCCCTGTCCTCGGGGCTTGTGCGTCCCCGCTGTGCTTTCTGCCTCGGCCCACACAGACACCTTAGCAGGAGGCGAAGCAGGGTCTGTAGTCCCAGCCGGGACGCGGGGCTCTCCACATCTACAGGAATTGTGAGAAAAGGAGAGGCTGGATCGGTGGCCACTGCTGCCCTCCTCAGCTCGCAGCCCTCCGCTGTCCACCCGATTCCCCACGGCTGAGTGTTGGCACCTCGCTGGGGGCAGTTGGAACGTCTTCGGGTACACATCTTGCTGGCAGAGGCTACACCCAGAAAGGGAATGTGGAAGAAATGAGAAGCCGCTGTCACTCATAGGAGGACTTGACCCCCTACCTGGGCCGTGGCGTCACTGCCTGCTGCTCCAGCCTGAGTTCCAGCAGCGGCACGGGAGCTGGGGCGCCACGCGCCACAGCCTGACCTGCGCTTCTGGGATCTTCCCTACCCTGTGGCTGGGAAGCAAGGGTTATGGCCACCACAGCCCCGACTCCCGGCCCACTTCCTGGCTGAGCTATAGTGATGTGCGTTCTCCTCTAACCCCTGGCCGACACAGCATCTAGATCTTGTCTTTACTCCCATGGCCTTCTAGCCACTCTTTGTTTAAATAACAATAGCAACAAAAAAGCCTTATGAGATTCATGCACCATAAATTCATTCTTTCAAAGTATACAACTCGGTAGGGTTTTATTTTTTGCAGCGCTGAAGATTGAACCCAGGACCTCACGCATGCTAGGCAGTGTTCTACACGGAACTACATCCCCAGCCCCAAATCAGTGGTTTTTAGTATATTCACAGAGCTGTAAACTATCACCAGGGTCTGACTGGAAAATACTTGTATTACCCCACCCCCATACACTCATTGGAGCCGCGCCTTTACCCCAGGTGCCTGAGGCGTCCAGCAGAGACCTGACTGTAAAGGGCCTTGTGCCCACCGTCACTCTGAGCACCAAAAGGACTGTGGACTCATGCAATCCCAGGAGAAAGGGCTGGGGTTGGCGCCTTCACCTTTGCCAGCCCTTTGATGATTCTCTTTTTAAAATGAGTGGGAGGACTAAACCGACTCTTCAAAAGTGACTTCTTTGCAAGTCATAATGGAGGCAAAACTGACTTGCAGGTAAAGGAACCCTAAAAAAGGAAACAGAGCTACACATAAGCAGAGAAAGATCAGGTCAGAAATGGAGAGCTGTTTCAAGGAATCCTCCTGGTCAGAGAAGAGCAGAACTTATGTTTTTGTGTTTGGGGAATTTGTTTGGATGGGTGCAACACTAGGGGTTAAACCTTTGCACTGAGCTGTACCCTGGTCTTTGTGTTATTTTGAGACATGATCTCACTAAGTTGCCTAGGCTATACTCAAACTTGTGATCTTCCTGCCTCAGCCTCTCCTAGTGCTAGGATGACAGGTATGCACCACATACCCAGCTCTTCTTAGGAAATTCAGACATGGGTAAGCAAGAGACCGCTCGAAATCACAGAAGACAAGTTCACTTTGGGATATATACAGATGTTTTGGTGGACTCTGGGATACATACACGTCATAAAGCAGTTTTTTCATTCCAAACATTTGCTGAGGATCCCCTGTGCATAGGATATATTACTAAAAGGTACTTCTATGAATGCTGTTTTTCAGCAGTTTAAAGAAGTAAAATGTAGCTGGGCATGGTGCTGCATACCTGTCATCCCAGCACTCCGGAGCCTGAGGCAAGAAAGCTGTCAGGAGTTTGAGAACTGTCTCAAAAAAAGCAACAACACAAAAAAGGTAAAATGTGTAACTCCTCTATGTGGTAGAACATTTTAAGGTCTATGAGAATATTGCAAGGTGCCTTGAGGAGGAAAGGGGGACAGGCCATTCCCTACTGGGGAAATGACCCCTGAGCTAGGCCTCTGAAGTACGTGGGACAGGAGCACAGGTAGAGGAACAGGACATTTACTGGGAATGGTTCCATAGGAGCGGGCGCCAGAGCTGAGAGCCCTCACCGTTTTCACCCTCACCATTCTGGTACGCAGAGCACTGTGAGGACCACGCGCTCACCTTCCCATATTATACTCTGATAGGGTGGGGGGGAGATGGAGAGAGATGGGACTACCCAGAGAAGATGGGTTGAGGCAGAAGGGGAGGTGGGGGATCCGTTTTTAGGCCCAAGTTAGGAGAGAAGTACCCTTTCTCCTTCCCATCCTACCTTTCATGAGTTGGTCCCCTAAGAGGCCTCTCCCCTTGCAACTGACCAGCAGAGCTGAAGCTTCTGTCCCAGCAGCCTTCCTGCTGCTCTGGCCATGAACCAGGCCCTGCACCAGAGGAGACCCCAGCAGCCAGCTCCGTGTCCCTCCTCTGGGCGTCTTTCGGATCACGCTGCAGCTGCCGGCTTTTGACATGACAGTGAGGCAAACAGGTCCAAGCGCAAGACCGGGCCAGTCAGTTCCTCTGTCTTCCGTGTCCACAGCCCTCACCCCAGCCTTACGTCTCAGTGAGAAAGGGGCACAAGCCAACCAGGGATCTCAGCCGTCAGGGACACAGAGCAGGGTGACGCCCAGGATCAAGTCACCGCTGCGCCCAATTCAGATCCCCAGTCTTGATCCCATAAGTACCCTCAGAAAATCTAGCAAAATTGCCCGCCTCCTTCCAAATATTCTGGACCTCCAGGCTCCAGCGAAGACTCTGGTCCTGCATTTCCTCAGTGCTTGTCTTCTTCCCTCTTCTATTTACTGATCTTTTTCCTGCTTTCACTCCCGTTTCTTCTTTCCCCCTTGCCTAAGCTTTGGGCCTGCCCTTGGCATTCGTGGACGTTGCCTCTCTTTTCCGGTTATACTACAGCTATAGGAACCGCTAGCTGTTGTCTAGGAGCCAAGTTGGGCTGCCTGGTGTCAGTGTTAATGAACACCCGGTGGAAATCATCTTTCCTGAAATTTGAACACTGGCGACAATAGCTACAAGTGTGTAGGCATTTGTGAGCTCTCTCCCAGGGCCTGCAGAGGAGGTGCTGGCTCAGGGCTAGCGCAAGATGGGCAACCATTGGAATAGACACAGAAACCTCTAACTACCATGACAGATAGGCAGTGGTAATTTCACCATCGTGCGAGGCAAAGAATAAATGCCTATGGTTCAACAGAGAGTACAACTAAGAACACAGCTCCTTGGTCAAGAAGAAGCATAAAGCCAAAGGGCTTGGAGCAAAAGAGTAGGCCAGGAGTAGAAACCATAGGCCAGGGCATGCTGGGAAACTGGGATGTGAGGTGAGGGCAGGCTACTCATAGGACCTGCGCTCTGATCTGTCATCTCAGGGAGCAGCAGTGGGGCATTTCAGAGCACAGCTATTAGGCGGCCAACGCTGGCAGACAGTACAGTGACGGACCTTGTCTGGCCATATGCTTGCCCCACATGATCCTCAGCCCTTCAGCAACTCAGTAGCCTGAAGTTGCCCTAGCAGCCTAGGTCATGGGACCAGGGCCGCCGGGAAGGGGTGATGTTGGCCCATACGTGGTCCTGAAGGCTTCCTGCCCTGGGATTATTAGTGTCCTTGAAGCTCATGGGATGAGGAGGGCCCAGGGTTTTCCAGGAAGCGGCATCTGGGCATGTGCAGGGAGAGGAGAATCTATTGATCCAGCTCTCTGCCTCCTCAGAGCTACACTGTGGGTGTGGGTAGAGTGTGGGCCCAGGCTAGAGGGACCTCCCAGCCCAGTCCACCCAAGCTTTGAACACCATGTGCTTTAATATATGGGGGGGATAGAAATGGGAGGTGTTCGTGGTTGCCAGCCGCATATGTAGCAGGCTGAGCTAGGAATTGCCTTGGTAGAATCCCCAAGCCCAGCGAATGGATGGCTGCTGTTGTCCTCCAGATCTCCGGGCCCACTGGAGCTCAGGAGCTTCAGGAGTTCTGCTTCTGCCTCCCTAGCTGAGCAACGGACAAGAGGCCCTGACGGTGTTCTAGTGACACTGCTGACAGGGAAGGGGCCACCCCAGAGGCTGGGGGAAGGTGGCGGATGGGATAGAAGCCCCAGTTGAGGCTGGGAGCTTGTTAGGTAGCCTGGGCCTGGCAAGGTGCGGGTGTAACGCACTTCCTTTCTGCCCTAGCTTAAGACCAGAGAGGGGAACTTGCTCTCAGAAGTCCCAGGAGCCTCCTTCCTCCGGCTCCCCACATGCCCCTGTTAACTCCTGAAGTGTCACCAGGGCCGCTCACTGGAGAGATGTGCCTGAGGAATAGGATGACAGCATGGGCCCCACAGTCCTGGCTTCTGACCCAGAGCCTCCTATTTTACCACCAGGAACACAGGGACTGTTTGATTTTGGGGTCCAGAGATCACTTCTTGATCGCTTGTCCACCTAAAAAAGCAAGGGCACTAGAGGCTTGCAGTATAGGTCGGGGCAGAGCACATGCCTAGCATGTGCTAGAGAGATTCTGGGTTTTATTGATTTTGCAAAAAATGAAAAACAAAACCCCGGCCAGGCACAGTGGTACATATCTGTAAACCTAGCACTTGGGAGGCTGAGGCAGGAGGATCACAAGTTTGAGGCCAACCTGAGCTATATATCAAGACTCTATCTCAAAAAAAAAAAAAAAAAAAAAAAATTAGAGCATTAGATTTCTTTTCTACTGGTCTGCTCAACTCTGACAGTGTTGGATCCTATGTAACGAGAACCCCTTCTTCCTACCATTATTCCTAATCCAGCACAGGGAGAATAGATTCTCCTCTGAAGTACTCAGGTAATTCTCCAACCCTTGGTTCTGCCCCCTTGCACACACACCTGCATGCAGCACATCAGGATGAGAGGTGGGGGTCCAGGAGTACTACATAATATAATTATAGATTTGGAGCTCAAAGGGAAGTGAGAAACTGTATGGTTCATGTGTATTATAATTATTTTTAATTTAGATGAAATTCACATGACATAAAATTTACCATTATAAAGTTTATATGCCAGCAGGATTTAGTTCATTCATAATATACAACTATCATCTCCATCTACTTTCAAAATATCTTTAATTTCCCCCTTCTCAGTACCTGGTATCTATCAACTTACCTTCTAGCTCTATGGATTTGTATGTCCTAGATATATCATATAAACGAGTCACAGAATGTATTAGTTCATTTCCCATTGCTGCCTCAAAATACCTGAGGCCAGGTATTTACAAAGAAAAGAGGTTTATTATGCTCATAGTGTTGGAGGTTTGAGAACATCATGCCAACATAGAATGTGAGGGTGATCTGGCTGTGACATCTGTCACCCCATTGATCGCCAGGGTTGATTTGGCTGATCTGGCTGGCTAGGTGG